TCTGCTCCCTGCTCCGCAGCCCTGCCCGGCTGGCAGCCCCTCTCCTCCCCACTGCAGATCACCTTCTTCACGTTGCTGTCTGTGCTGGGCGTCATGCTGAGCCTCGCTGGGTCCATCCTGTCCTGCCAAAATGCGCAGCTGGTGAAGTCCCTGGAGGCCTGCGAGAGGGTGAGGCTGGCCGGGGGCTGCCGCAGTGCCCCCGCATGCCCAGGCAGCCGAGCGCAGCTCGTCCCCGGCTGCAGGGCTCTGGGGACACGGGGAGCTGTGGAGCTGGGGTCTGGTGGTGGGGACGCGGTTTCTGGAGGTCCCTCACAGGGTTCCTTGTCCCCAGGAGAGGGACTCATGTGTCTGCTGCCAGGCCCGCTCGGAGCCTCTGCCGGCCTCCTGCAGCCAGCAGAGCGAGATGCTGACCATGTTCCCCAACCCCGACTGCCGGAGCATCCGCGTGGCACTCAAGGTGGGAGACCCGGGAGGGGCAAGGGCTCCCTGGGGAGCAGCTGCGCACCCCACCATGCTCTGCAGGCGTCCGCAGCTCACCCCGCTCCTCCCCAGGATCTCCTCTTCAGCGTCTGCGGCTTGACCGTCTTCTCCACCATCATCTGCACGCTCTCTGCTGTTGTGTGCTGCATCCAGATCTTCTCCCTCGACATCGTCCATGTGGTGAGTCCCAGCCCTGGCCCGGGAGCAGACGGGGCTGGGGAGCAGCGCTCCCAGGCTGGGGGGGCCCCAGGGTGCCTGGGTTGTGGTTTAAGCCCCAGGACACACGTCCCTCGCTGGATCTCTGGGCCGGGGGTCCCAGCTCTCCCTCCTCTCCCTGCAGCTGGTCCCCCAGCGCTCGAGCTCTGTGACACTGGAATGCACGTCCCCCCCCGACACCTTTCTGCAGAGCATGATAGACTTTGAGGAGTTTGTGCCCCCGGTGCCGCCACCCCCTTACTACCCACCCGAGTACACCTGCAGCTCCGAGACCGATGCGCAGAGGTACCTGGCTGGGAGCGGGGCCACCATGGTGCAGACGTGCGGGGCCCATTTGCCTCTAAGCAGGGCTCGTCCCACCCACCGTGGCTTTTCTAATCTTGCCTCCGCAGTATCACCTACAACGGCTCCATGGACAGCCCCGTGCCCCTCTACCCAACCGACTTCCCCCCTCCTATGAGA